GGCTCAGAGGTATATGACTTCCTCTCACATTTTGTCATTTGGTGGCGCACTTTCGGCAAGAGTCGGAAATCCGGAAACAGTCGACCGTTTCACGATAGGTGGGCGTGGCTACAACACGAGAAATATCCCAAATTTACTTGGATACGAGTAATCGTTTTCAGCAAAAAAAATCAATAACTACCCTTTTCAGTGGGACACAGATCTAAAATGGGAAACGTGAGGGTGGGCATTGCACAGGTACTTTAAGGTAGAAGCCTAGTCATAATTTTTGACAAAATTGGTCACAAATCGCATGACAATGTTTATTAGTTTATTATGTACAATCATGAAGCTAATGTCTCATGGTACAATGAAATAGCATTAGTTTGTGTGTTACAGTTATTCTTTTGAGAAACGTGTCCTAATATTTCTTGAAAATTGCTATTTTTAGAACAATTCCATAGAACACAACGTTAAAGAAAAATGGCATTTTTTGACACCTTTCAACCCAGATTTTTTAAATAATTCAGAACAACAACAAGTGCTCCATCATTAACAATATATGATTTTTTCAGCCTATGTCACCAGGCTAAATTTTGAGATATTGCATAATATCTCTGCCATAGGAACCTGTGGTAAAAGTGTTATAATAGTGTCAAAATGGCGACTTTCCACTAAAATACAACCATCAATTTCTCGAAAAAAAGGCTGGTGACCCCCAACTTTTTTTAGGTCAATATCCTTATATTGTCTTGGAGTACATTTTATTAAAAATGAATAAATTCTGGGTTTTTTAATTTATGAGTAGGCTTCTACCTTAAAGAAAGAATGTGCAAACCGGGAATGCGTGTCACTGTTTGTTTGAAATTAAAATAATCAGACATCTAATCTGAGTCACTGTCCGAATAAATAACTCGTTGACGTTTAGTTGGGACCATGACAGGACCAGAACTTGAACTGGACGACTATGATACACAGTTTATGTTGAAGTTAATAAAAGTTCCGCCACAGAATTGTGCATTGGCAAACAATCCACTGACAGGATGACTTTCGTCGACAGCGGTTGTCGCTGAGCTGCACACTACAACTTCGTGTGTGATGTTGCTTGCTGGTCGTGGATTGACTGAGTCTTGATTACTGGTTAAAATGTTGCTCTTTTGGCGTTGGTAATTTTTATTTGGAACTGAGTAACGCCGCAACGTCGCCAGCAGAAACCTGGTATCTCGAAGCTGATGGTTGCGGCTGCATAGTAGTCGCTGATTTTACTGCTGGTGGATCTTCCGAGAGCCCTTCAAGGTTTATAAAACTCAGTTTCCAGGTGGTCAACATACATTAAGTTCTCCCAATCGTAATATTCCATGTGATGTACACCTAACACGCCAAAAATGTTGCCTGACGATTTGAACCGGACAAAAATAGCAGACGAAAATGTGTTTACAAAATATCGACCGTGAAAATACCGAAAACATTATTGCATGGGTGATATGCAAATTAGTTTTTGTCAAAATAAGTGACTGGCTAAGTTACCATTACTGTTGTTCAAATTTCATTTCACTCGGCAAGTATATTCATGTACCCCCAAAAAAAAATATCCTTCTTCTTAATATTGTTTATTTCTGCTATGTTTCGAAAAACGGTACTCCTGAAGGGACTACTTTGTTTGGTCTCAGACTTCATTTGCATATGAGGTGTGGAAATACCGACTTTGATTTCAGGGACGAATCAAAATAAACTGCAGTACATAATAATAATAATAATAATCTTTATTGAAACTGTATCCCGGAGTGGGATCTTAGTTGAAAATACAATAAAGTAATACAAAAAGATAGCAAACAAAAAACACAAGACATTCATACCAATTGAAAAGAAGAAAAACAAAATTTAATTATTTGGTGGTTGGTTGATGCATCTGGCATTTTAAGATTTTTTCTTGTCGTAATTTGAAACAAGTGTGGATGAATTTTCCTAGTTCAATGATTGTTTTGTCATTTTTACTTTTTAGTATATTTGTAAGTTTTTCGTCATCCGTCCCCAAGTTGCTTATATTGTATTTAATATTGTTGATCATGATTTCTCGTTCCTTCTTGTATAAATTACAATTGAGAAGAAAATGTTTTTCGTTTTCAATTTCCTGTTTGTCACAAACTGGGCAAATTC